CAGAGTACACGGCCTGCTTCAAGCAGGGTAATCATTCTCCCATCTGGTCAATGGCTTCCCTCCTCCTTCTGCCCTGTGCCTGGCAGAAAATAGGCACTGCATAAATTTTTGTGAGCGGAAGAGTACATGAATGCTTGGGGATGGCTCCATCCTCAGGCCAGCAACAGCTGGGAGATGCCGGCATGAACAGTGCCGTTGTTCCTCACCTCTTAGACTTGACTCAGCATAACTGCCATCAGTGTACTGAGGCACAGAGATCAAGCAAGGGTCTCGCCCTGAGTCACATTGGCTCGGGAGCAGAGTTGATCCCTGGGACTTCTTCTGACCACAGGTCTCTAGATTTCTTTCCGTGAGGTTCCAGAGCAGAGAGGGGTGGATCATCATTAAAACAGCCATTTTAGGGCTTCCCTGGTGGTGCAGTGGTTGAGAGTCCACCTGCCGATGCAGGGGACACGGGTTCGTGCCCCGGTCCGGGAAGATCCCACATGCCGCGGAGCGGCTGGGCCCGTGAGCCATGGCCGCTGAGCCTGCACATCCGGAGCCTGTGCTCCGCAACGGGAGAGGCCACAGCAGTGAGAGGCCCGCATACCGCAAAAACAAACAAACAAACAAACAAACAAACAAACAAAAACAGCCATTTTACACCAGATCCTAAGTTTCACGATAGTGCAAGCTGTGTATTCTAGAGCGATCATCCTAGTGGGTACCAGAGGAAATGCCTGGAAACCTCAGGACCCCCTCCCTTACCCAGACCTGCTTCTGACCCCTTGAACTGAGTAAAGGACTTCATCAATGCCATGACACCAGGCACTGGAATGAGCAGCTAAGGAGGGCCCAGGGAGTGTGCCCAGCCTGATGGGGTGCCCCTCCCTGGTGGGGAGAGCTCTGTGCTGTCTCCCCAGCGAGACTCCCCTGCCACCCTCTCCCTTTAGGTTGTGGGCTGCGGCTACCTGCAAAAGTCAGACCTGGAGGCCGATGCGGAGGCCCTGACCCAGGAGATCGACTTCCTGCAGCAGCTGTTTAAAGAGGTGAGGGGCCACAGAGCAGTGGGGCAGCAAGGAGGATGGTATTTGGACATTGGAAAGGACTTTCCACCATTTGGCTTCTGAAACCCCTGGGTGAGGGGAGCACAGGGCAGAGTTGAGGGACCCAAGGCAGGTTTACTGTCAGAAGATGAAAAAGTATAGCTTCTTGTCTTATCTGCCAAACCCAAACAAGCTGTTGTTCCTGGTTACTGTGGTGATAATTATCACAAATTGTATATTCACAGATCAGGCACAAATTGTAAATTGCTGCCTGATTTCAGAGGCCCTGACTGAAATCAGGCAGCAAGCCTCAGAGCTGGGCTCCTCTCAGCCTTGGGACTTTGGTCCTGAGGAGCTCTGAGAGGTTCCAGGGTTGAAGGGGAGATGTCACCTTTGTATTGGGGCTTCAGACAGTGAGGCTGTGGAATAAGCAAGGGCAGGGGACAGGGAAGGACCATGAGAAAGAGGGCTTCTGGGAGTGGGGCTATGGTCCAGGAAGCTCTTACCACTCCCCCACTTCCCCGCAGGAGCTCCAGGTCATCCACGCCCACATCTCAGGCACCTCAGTCATCGTCAAGATGGACAACAGCCGGGACCTGAACGTGGACCGCATTGTCGCCGAGATCAAGGCTCAGTACGATGACATGGCCAGCCGCAGCCGGGCTGAGTCTGAGTCCTGGTATCGCAGCAAGGTGAGTGGTCCAGCGCCCCCTTCCCAGAACAAGGATGCTAAAAGATGAAAGCATTAGCAGGAGGGATGCTAAAAGGGCTTTGGCCTTTGTCTAGGTGGGATGGGTAAGGAAAGGGCAGGCAGCTCTCAGGATGGGGTGGCCGATGTGCAAACTGTGGGGCTCAATGGGATGGCATATCCTGTGTCCCATGAGCATCTGTGCTTCCCCCCAATGCAAGGAGATGAAGGCCACGGTGACCCGGCACGGGGAGACCCTGCGCCGCACCAAGGAGATCAACGAGCTGAACCG